ACACATCCAGCGTAATTATGTGATTATATGAATTGACAAAACACTACGATTAGCAAGCTTTTACGAGGTATTGAAGAAATGTGCTTACACTGATAATAATGTAATACGTCCGGAAGGGGGAGGAGGTGTGGGGGTCCTCGGGGGTGAAGTGAAGGGGAAAAGTTAGAGGGACAGAAGGGAGGGGGGCTCTGGAAAGACAGGGGAGGACCCTCTGGGAGGAAAGTGAGAGGTGAGGAAAGGGGGGAGGGCAGCTTAGGAGGGAAGACGAGAGTGTATGAAGAAAAGAAGTGAAGGACGATGGCAGCCTCGGGAGGAGAGGTGAGGGGAGGTCGTGGGGCCTCAGGAGGGGACGTGTGTGTGTGTGTGTGTGTGTGTGCAGCTCTAAACCCGTCTCGTCGGCAGGAGCCACGCGCTCCCGGCACACCAATCCCTCACCATTGCTTAGGAGACCAAGGTTTTAATTCCCGCAGCGATAACATTTAAGACGCGCTGCAACTCGGCCAGACACCAGGAGCCTAAGCCTTCACGTCCCTGACGAAGGTCGGGATTTCAACCCACGGATCTCGCGGCACAAGGGCGATAACAGAGGTGCTGTCTTAGCATGAGGAATAGACCCTTCTGCCAGCCAGGAAGAAAGATCCGACTAATATTAAATCAAATATGTCTAATTGAGAGAGAGAACTTGAGGCACACTGGCTAATCCCATGAAAGACGCGCAGGGGGCGAAAAAGACCTTGGAGAATCAATACGTGCATTCAACAACAAGCTAATCCCATACTAGGGGATTCCAGACGTCTTGGGGAAAATGATTAGGTCGTGTCCTCGAGTCCTTGGCGATGCTTGTCTCTAAGGGAAGGGATCAACAATTTTTATATTTATCATAAAGTCTCTGATGTTTCGAAACTGATTGCACGGATTTTTTCATATTTTTAGATAAATAGTTTGAAGCTGGAGGTAATATTTATGAAGTTGATGCTGAACGTCATTAGTTGAGACTGGGAAAATGAAAAAAAAAGTATGAGCTGTCATGGACATACACACAGACACACTAGAAATGGACCCAGGAACAGGTAGTATTATAATCAGTGGAAAATATACATGTATGACAGACTGAACAGTGTAAACATCGTGACAACACAAGCACAACTCTGCTCCTCTAACTATATGACATGCAATATTACATGGATTCCTATAATAAACAAAACCTCGCTGTGTTTATGGAAGTTGAATGACACAAACGGACAAAGTGGCGAAGACACATTTAATATGGAGTTTCGAGGATGTGTACTAGAGCGATTATGGTGCACAATTATTATTACAATCATAAGTAAGCGCTAAACACACTAGGGTAATACAGCGCTGACCATGGCGTACAGTCAGAAGTTATGTAGCGGGACAAGATTTGAGAAGATACCCAAAAAAACATAACTAGGTGAGTATACCTTCATGAGCACGAAGAACTAGACAGAAAGACCTGCTCATGGGCCGGGTCGCTGGTGCGTTGACCCTGGAACACCCTCCAGGTGTATCCTCCAGGTAAAGATAGTAAGAGAGAGAGAGAAACACACTAAGATAAGCAATAACGAGGCAGTGAGGCAGTAGGAGACGGAGATAGTGAGAGAGAGAGAGAGAGAGAGAGAGAGAGAGAGAGAGAGAGAGAGAGAGAGAGAGAGAGAGAGAGAGAGAGAGAGAGAGAGAGAGAGAGAGAGAGAGACATTTAAGCGAGTGAAAAGTGCCAAATTTTTGAAGAGTGAGACACAAGGAACGAAAAGTACCCAGGCAGACAGGGAATGTGATAGAGCTGGTGGAGGGAAGACAATTAGAGAGACAGGAGGGAGAGAGAGAGAGACAGACGGAGAGAGAGAGAGAGAGAGAGAGAGAGAGAGAGAGAGAGAGAGAGAGAGAGAGAGAGAGAGAGAGAGAGAGAGAGAGAGAGAGAGTCACAGAAAAAGAGGAAGGCAGGCAGGTAGAGAGACACCGAAGACAGGTATCGGCAGCATACGACAAATAGGTCGGGGGGACCAGCGACCCAGCCTGCCAACTTGGCGACCACATATGGAAAATCCATAGCGCTCCCCTCCCCAACGACTTTCCGATATTACATTGGGAACATTAAAATGAGAAATTCGCCTGTCCTCTACCACGCTGTCAGCTGGATGAACTTGCGTTGAAGTCACCAAAAACAAGCGAAGCACGCAATCCACTTCGGTGGGAGGGGTGGGGGTGAAATGGATGGAAGTTGTTGATACTATGAGGGGAAGGGGTAAGGGGAAGGGTTGGTTGATGTAAGGAGGAGGTAAGTGAAAGTACACTTTAAAGGTATAACCTTGATGATAGAAAACCGGTTGCGTTGTATACGAGTTGAGGTAAACTTTAAAGAATAAAAGTTGCCTTGAAAATGGCATAAAATACCGACAAGTTGATGACTGAGACACATCTACAACACTTAAGTATCTCTATAGTTGAAACATTTCGCCTACACAGTGGGCTTCTTCAGTCAAATATAAAGTCAGCAGGTGTAGTAGTGAAATTAAGATGATGTAATTAGCCCATCAACCTTGGAGAAAAGTGTTTGAGGTGGTCAGTCCCTCAGCCTGGAGAAGAGTTCATCTCCATGGTCTGAGAAGATATCGTTCCAGACCATGGAACTCAAGGATAATAACAAATAATCCATTACTCAAAGCAGTATTGGTCACTCTGTATAAGAATGACTGAACCTAAGAGACAAAGGTAATATTAATGGTGGAAGGTGAAAAGCTTCCATCTCGTTCTTACTTAAGGAGCTTTAACGACGTTGTTGAGAAGTGACAACAGGTGATGTACTCAGCCAGGAGATAACCTCATACACAATATAACAATTATTTTGGACTTACCCAGTTGCCCGTAATTACAACGATAACAATAATTAACATTGCTGCCTCTGTGTCAGTATATGGGGGTAATACAATCAGAACTAGCTAACTAAACACATATATAACTACGTGACAAGGAAAGTACTGAATATGTATGAAAGAGTCTCCTGTTACCTCACCAGAAACTGTGGTCAGAGAACGTCATATAACCGCTGGAACAACCCTCAGTTTCTTGGGTTAGATTAGGTAAAGTTTGTCAGGAAACAGGACATGTGTTTCCTGACGCGGGTCTTAGTCATATGATGACCCGCAGCTGGAGCTTTTGGTCATCTGATCGAGGACTTCCGCTGACATACCGGTCCACTCCTTCAAAAATTATGTTATAACCATTATTTATACATGCCAATTTCTTGTTTTTACCCTGATACGGCTTACAAGACTAAATATGAAGAGACGGCATATGTATGAGCAGCTGGTATCTTATTTCCAGGGAAGACACAGCCTGACACAAGCAACAGGGGTGCTAGTGAAGGGTTGTTTTCCAGGGATAGTAGCTACCTGGCGGTACCTCGCCTCCTGCTCCTCCTGTTCCTCCTGTTCCTCCTGTTCCTTCTGCTCTTCCTCCTCCTCCTCCTATACTCACACGTGTCTTCCTGCTGCTGTACATCTCTACATCTTCATTTGCTGATCCAACTTTCACATCTAATTGTATCCTCAGTATTTTTTTGGTAAGGCTATAAAAGGTATGACAAGAATAGGGAAAGGAAGGTCTATGGTAGAATAAAGCAGTGAAAAAGGTAATGGTTAGAGAGGAGGGAAGATGTAAGAAAGGTTAAATGGCCTGGCCACATTAGCTTTTTTTTGTCACATAGTGATGATGGTTGTGGGTCCTTTCGTCTTTCATTTTATTATTGTCCTCTTTTTTATGCCTCTATTTCCTATTCATGCTCCTTTCAGTTCGTTTCCCTGATTCTCTTCTTCTTCCATCTCTTCCTTTATCTATCTCTTCTTATTCCTCTTCCTCCTCCACCAGTTCATCTTCTTATCCTTGTAGTACTCTGGGAGGAGAAACGTAGAAGGGACGACTTGTCGTAGTATAAGGGAAGGAAAGGGGGAAGGAAGGGAGGGAGGGATGAAGGGAGGAAGGAAGGGAGGGAGGGAGGGAGGGAGGGAAGGGAGGGAGGGAGGAGGTCGTGAGGGGTCGCCAAAAATGCCAGAGTTGAGTCAGTTTGAGCAACTTTTAATAATGAAAGAAGTTGCTCCTCGCTAACTTTAATTACTTTTCGGTCACCCATTAGCATTTACACCCGCCATTTACCCTCCCAATTGTGTTTATTGTTTGCGCGATTGTCTGCATTTTAAGATTCTTAGTTGTTTAGTGTGTGTGTGTGCGTGTGTGTGTGTGTGTGTGTGTGTGTGTGTGTGTGTGTGTGTGTGTGTGTGTGTGTGTGTGTGTTCCTTAAGTCGCTCTTGCTTTTTCTTCGCCATGTGGAATATTGACTTGGTATCCAGGTTGACCCTCTAAAGAACCCCAATGGAAATAGGTCACTCTGACTTTTGTGGGTTATCCTAGGTTCTCTACATATATGCTGCTATGTATGATAATCTATGTAACTGTATTTGTGTATACCTGAATAAACTTACTCTGGTCCCTGACCAGCCTTGATGCGAGCCTCTTCAATTTCTCAATCTTGGGCTGGTGATACATGTTCTGGGACTGACCTGACGTAAGTAACATACGTTGCCCTGAACGACTTCTTGTTTATGTTCTCAAATGTTGCTTTTTCTAGGTTTGTTAGGAGCATATGTCGCCAGGGACACTTGGTTGATTCTCACCCCCGGCGATATGTTTGGTGGTGTACCGACCCCGAGGTCCCTTAGTTGCAAGTGTACTCTATATCTGAGAGAGCTCTAGCTCTTGTTTATATATTCTCTGACCACGAGAGCGCGTTGTTCGAAAGGAGACACAATATAACAAAAGTAAATTCAAAGTCATGGAGAACTGAGTGGAAGCCAGGCTTTCGTACACACCTTCCTCAATTTCATAAGAAAATACATTTCTAAATCAAAACAGTCTAAGATCAATTCAAAACATTATAATTAGTTAAGTACTCTGCAGTGATGTACACAGGGAAAGAGATACAAAGAGCCTTTGATTAATTTATTAAAGGGCCAGATGCCACATAAATCATGGATCACAGAATATATTTTCTAAGTGGAGTATCACGCCGCTGACAGTTAAAAAACAAAAACTATGAAGAGAGAGAGATTGATTCATTTGTGTTTACAGATTTTCTCTCTCTCAGTACAAGTTTTTTTTGTGACTGTGATGCTTAAAGCTTAACTGAGGTCGATTTTGTAATGTTGATCCGAGATTACAATAGTTATATTTCAATATTTCAATAGGGAAGCAGCAGCAACAGCATCACGCATTGTACCGAACCATAACTACCAACATTTTTACTACCCATTTTCTTTATTAATAAGTCATATCATACTTAAATTTCCTGACGAAAAAAAACAGGGTAAACTTTTTTTTTTAACCAAAGGCAACTTTTCAACTGATATTTTAGTCTGTTCAAGTGAACAAGTCTGGTGCGGGAGATGAAGCAATGATCCAGCCAGTGTTTGTGTCCAGGATCCTCTCATACTCGTGTTCTGAATCTTATCTGTATCGCCTTTGGATTGTATTTCGACAACGTTATCATTAGTTGTAACAAAAATACTTCCTAAGAGGCTATTTAATATAAGAAATTAAGTGTGATGTATGAGACAACTATATTCACCAATCGTCGAAATTTTCTCGCTAGAGTGAATACGTTCTTACTCTTGAATATATACAACTTACTACTATATCGGAACTCTGGCTGAAATCTTAGTTCCGTCTATGTTTACACGATTTTTTAACGTTTTACGAGAATGGGAAAAGTAGTGAGTCATATCAAATCAAGGCACAAACTGCAAGGGAGAAATGTGACTAAGTTTGTGGTTCCGATGGAGTTAAAGATGGTTGAAACAGTGGCTGGGTTTGTCAGAGGTGGCGAAGGAGGCATTCTTCCCGACGGTGGCGCTGCTCGAGGCTTACTTGCCGATGATTGACCCTACGCTGGGCTCCGACATTCTGACCCGAGGCTGTGGCACCCTTGTTTGACCCAGCCTGCAGTCCGATGACCGTCTTGGAGGCGGCCAGCACCTCTTCAGAGAACTCTCTCTTGTTTTCCTTCACAGGGGGAAGGGAAGCATTTCCTTTTGGCCAAAAATTTTTTTTTCGGGGGAAAAAGGTAGGGTTATCAAACAACAAAAATTCCCAAGGGAAAAAGGGAAATTTTGGGAAAATAATTTAAAAGGGTTGAAAAAGTCTTTTGTAATAAAAACCCCACTGGGGGAGGAAACCTCGTATCCCCCCTTTCGGGGTCCGACTTTAGACCATTTCAAAGTCACGGGTCGGGGCGGCCGTTCTTCCCTTAAGAATTTTTGTTTTTTCCCTTGGGGGGGGATACCATTTGGGAGGGGTGGGGGTGTTGGTTAAAAAAAAATTTAAGAAAAATTTGGGAAAATAATAAATATATAAAAATATTTTAATAAAAAAAATAAAAAAAAATTAGAAAATTTTTTCCGGCCGTTGGCATTTTAAAAATTTTACTATTTTTGTTTTACGGTTTTGGAATAAATTTTAAAGGGGAACAACCCTTAAGGTGTGTGCTGGTTCTATAAAATTTATTAATCAAAAAAAAAAAAAAATTTTAAATAAAAATTTAAATAAAAAAAATTTTTTAAAAGGGGGCAGGGGTTTTCATTTTTAATTTTTTTTTTTAATTGGGTTAAAAAATCCGGGGAATTTGGGGGCCCCCCCCTTCTTTCTATAAACTTTTTTTTTTTCCCCAAAAAAAGGTTTTGTTTTTTTTGGGGGTTTAAAAAAATTGTTTGAGGGGGTGGGGTTTTTTTTAAAAAAGGGGTTTTTTTGAAAGGGAGGGGGGGGGGGGAGGCCCCCCCCCTTTTTTTCCCGGGGGATTACTTTTCTTCAGGAAAATTGTAATCCTTTGCCGGGGGGGTTAATATTCATAAGGAGGGATGGGGGGGTGTTGGGGCTGGGGGGGGGGGGGGGGGAAATGTTTTGGGGACCGGGGATTTTACTTTTGGGGTTTTAATATTTTTTATAAATATAATCATACGAATGAATAATATTAAGGTTTATTAAATAACCATACCCCAAATTTATTTCTATAAACTTAATTGGTTATAAAATAGGTTCTTATTATTTTAATTCTTTTATAAATCTCTTAAAATATATAAAATTTCCCCTTTATCTGTTTGATCTTAAAGGTATTTTATCTAAATTATCTTATTTATTCCCTATTTTTTATAATATTTATATTAAACTTATTATCTTTACCCCCTATAATTCTCTTATATATTATTTTATAACCCTAACTTTTATTATTTATATTAGATAAAAATATTATAAAATCACTCTATTAATCGAATTACTTTTTATATCTAAAATAAACTTTTATTTATATACTTATTTTTTATATAATATTTTAATATATCTTTCTCTTTAATCTCAAAAGTTTAAATAATTTAGCTTTTTATATATAAAAGGGGAAAATTCTATCATAAAACATTTATCTCTTTTTCCTCTATATATTATATTTTTTAATATTTAAACTTTTGCCCCAAAAATTTTCTTTATAAAAAATTATATATTCTTTAGTTCCTATATACCCTTTCCTTCCTCTTCCTTCAAAATCCTTTTTCTATTCTTCCCCACTCCCCCCTTTACCCCTTTTTCCCCCGATCTCTCTAATAACTAACCCAAAAATAAACACACATCCAAAAACCATCACCTCCACCACAAACCCCAAGCTCACCCCCTCACACACCTCCAATCACCTCACCAAAAACCCAACCCAACTCCCCACCTCCCCCAACTCCCACCTCCTCAAAACACAACAAACAAACCAACACTACACACTCAACACTCAAACCAAAACTCCCCCCCTTTTAACACACCTCCCAACAAACCCCAACACCCACGAACCCCAAAAACCCCCCCCACCCTCCCACACTCCCCCCCCCCCCCACACACACCCCAAAAACACACCACACCACAACACACACTCACACACACCCCACACACACCACACACACACACACACACACACCCCACTCACACACACACCACCCCCTCCACACACACAACCCCACCCACACCCCACCACCCCACACACAACCCCACTCACACACAAAACTTCAAACAACCCACCCCACCCCACACCACACACACTAAACCACATAAAACCAAACACACACACCCCCTCAACACACACTCCCCACCCCACACCCCAACACACACACACACTCAACCACCCCACAAAATTCACACACCCCAACACACACACAAACACACCACACACACCACCACCCCACACACCCCTTCACCCACACACACACCTCACAACACACCACACACACACACAAAACACACACCCCCACACACACACCCCCTCACCTCACACTAACACTCACCACACATCACACCCCAAAATTTCAAAACTCACACACACACTCACACACACACTCACACACACACTCAAACCCACACATTCCACCCCACACCTCACACCCCACACACCCCACACTCAACAACCACACAAACCCCAAAACTTCACACCCCCAAAACAACACCACACACAACCACCCCACAACACCACACACACACACCACACACACACACCACCACACAACACCACACACACAAAACCTCACCTCACAGCGGTAGAAAAAGAGGCGGGGTCAAAAGCAGTGACTTAACCCCTGAAAAAAAAAAATAGGCGAGTGCAAAAAGGGGGAAAAGTAACGGTTTGATCAGTTAGATTTTTCCTGATGGATATCACATAGAAAGGGTTTTTAAAGAGAAAAAAACCCTCTCCCACGGGGCTCCCACAAATTCCACGGGACACGACAGAGAAAAAGTGTCGTGGTTTAAACATAAAGGATGGTTAAATCGAAATAAAGTTAAAAGGAATAAAAAATTTTTTTTAAGTATTAGGTTAGGTTAGATCAGGTAAGATTCGTCAAAAACCCAGGACAAGTCCATCCTGTTTGGGGGGTCTTAGTGTGATGACCCGCCTTTGGGCTTTTGTTTTGTGACTGAGGCCTTCTGCTGGCTTACGGTCCACCCCCTTTTAAAAAATTTTTGTTTATATTCCTAACCCTTTAGTAAAATTTCAGATGTAAACTTATAATGGGAAATTTTTTATAAAAATAAGTGTGGAAAGGGTGGTCTTTAATTGGAAATTTCGTTGGGCTCTAGACGGGAAAAAAAAAAAAAAGAATACAGATATGAAATGTTTTTGAATGAGAAAAATGTTCGAGAGAGAGAGGGGAGGAGAGAAGAGAGGAGAATTAGGAGAGAGAAGGGAAGAAAAGGGAGGAGAGAGATGAGGGAGGGGGAGGGGAGGAAAGAAACAAGGGGGAGAGAAAAGAGAGAGAGCCCTCACTTCCCGGGCCCTACCAAGGGAAAACCCTCAGGAAAAAATTTGTTTCACAGGTGGCGTCCCCACCTGGCTTTCCTGGTAACCTGACCGGGGATTTGGAAGGGACGGAAAAAGGGGTAAAAAGGGGCAGAAAAAGGGGCGGGGGAAGAAAAGAGAGGGCTGGGAAAGGGGAAGGAAAAAAAAAAATAGATGAAAGGGTGATGAAACAAAAAAGAAGTGTCCAAAACAGCAACTCGGGGAAATTTGTTTGGGATGCCCGAAAAAAGATTTTTTTTTTTTAAAAAAAAGTGTAAACAGCGTAGTGTGGACGCTTAATATATAAATTACTGAGTAAAAATAAAAAAAAATTTTAAAAATAATAAAAAATAATAAAAATAATAATAATAATAATTATAATTGAAATATCTTGGTAGTTGGGGGGGGTGCTACTGGGGGAAAGGTGAGGGGATATAATGGGGGGGAGTAAGGGTGAGGGGTGGTGGTGGGTGAGGGGGGTAGTTAGGGTTTTCTTGACGTCAGTGTGCAGGGGGGTGAAAAATTAAATGACAAACAACCGATTGGCTTAAAACTTGTTGAGACGTCTGTTTTGTTGGTTTTGAAGATCTTCGTCTTAATAATTTGACCCCAGACTTCCTTTCCAAAGTGTTCTATGCCCTTACCCATAACCAATTAACAATCAAAATCCAAAAAGGAATTGGAGGAAGGTGGGGGGTACCCCCCGCCGTCCTAGGGGGAACAGGCCCTGCAGACTGTCGCCAGGTCCTTCTTTTCAAAAAGATCAGCCCTCTGGGAAAGTCCCGGGTGCTCACCCATACTTTCCCACGCATCTGAGATCTGTCGGATTTTTATATATATTATATATATATATATATATATTAATATATATATTTAAAAATATTATTATATATATATATAAAAATATATATATATTGTAGTTAAGCAGTAGTTAAGCACAGGAAGACTGATCAAATAACTTGGTTAAAAGATTTCATTGCACTATGAATTGGTATCAGTTTCTGTCTGGTAAGTGAGCGCAGCAGGCGCATGACAAAAATTTTTGCTCCCTAGAGGTGAACAGAGGGGAACAGAAGGGAACAGAAAGGTGGGAAAACAGAAGGGAACAGAAAGGGAACTCACTTGTTTTTCCATTCTTTAACTGACGCCGTGGTGTGGGGCTTGGGGGGGGGCCTGGAGACAGCTTTTACAGTCGACACAACACCCCAAAAACACCAAGCTGTTTAAAATTTGGAGCTATTTCTATTAGGTCCGTGTTTCAAAAACTTTGGGGGGCCCGTGTTTCCTTAAGACACCTGCTATTCCGTTCCCCTTTGCATTTAAATAGGAAACCTGGGTGTTAGCCAAAATGTGGGGGGTCTCATTTGAATTAAAAATTTAAACCCCTAACTGGCTAAAAAATGCTCTGCATAAAAAAAGGGTTTTATATACCCCCATTGATGTAGAAGGGTCGTAAAAGGGTTGTATGTTGTGCGTGTAGAAATAAAGTTTAATTATTATTATTATCATTTATTTTGCCTTGGTTGATCGGTTTAATACCCGGTTTGATTGGGCCCCCTGACCCCCATAAAACCCTGGTCACAGACCAGCCGAGGGGCGTTGCCCCCCGGAACTCTCCCCCGGTTTTACTCCGGATTAAAAAAATTTAAATTTCATCAAAAAAGTGATTTCCCCGATTCCATGCGTTATTTACACAGTGGGGGGAAAAACGTTAGCTTTATTTTTCCCCGGGTCATAGCCCTTCAAGGGGAAAATCACTTTAACACGGGTGTCGAAAATGGGTCGGCTGGGGCTGGGAGACTTCAGAAAGGTGATGAGGATTTCGCCAAGTTTTCAATGAAGGTTCAGCAGCTCTTAAACTTGGTAGAATGGGAAGACTTTTAAGACGGGCAGGGAGGGATACAAAAGTTTTAGGGAAAAACATAGGGGAAGTCACTTTTTTTAAGACAGACAAAATATAAAAAAGATAGGCAGGCTGAAAGACCATGTAACAGAAGGGAGACAGGCAACCCAAGCAGATATAAGCAGGGCAGACAGTAAAGGGCCACAGCCATATTATAAAATAATTGAATTAAAAGAAAATTTTCCCAAAGAAGGACTAAATTTCTCTTGAGTATAAATTAATAATAAAAAATAATAATAATAATAATAATAATTTAAAAATAATAATTTTATAATAATAATAATAATAAAAAAATTTTAATAATAATAATAATAATATTAGCTGTTCTGAAAAAATTGAAAAAAACACAACACACACCACACACACAAAACCCCACAAAAACACACACACACACACACCCACACACACAACCCCACAACCCCACACACCACACACACACAAAAAAAAGTACAAATAAAAAATATCATAAATCACGAAACCCCACTATCCCACAATCCCGTTCGTGACTCACTTCCGTGACTAATATCACAGCGGGTTGTTCAGGGCCCCTTCCAAATAGGCACACAGCAGTGCCGCCCGGGACACAGGGGCTGCACGAAGGGGACACGCAGCTGCACGCAGGGGAAACCCGCAGCTGAAGCGGCACACACAGCCCGCACGAGGGACACAAACAAACTGCAGCAGGCAAAACAGCAGCTGCAGCAGGCACAAAAGCAGCCCGCACGGGCAACACCCCCGCTGCACGCAGGCACCCCCGCAGCTGCAAAGCAGGCACAAAAGAGCTTTCAAAGCAGGAAAAAGCAGCTGCCAGGGAGGCAACAGGGGCTGCCGCAGGGGACACAGCCCAAAGGGGGCACGCACGCACCCCAGCAGTGGGACCACGCATTTCAGCAGGCCATAACAAGCAACAAACGTGCACAAACGCCCCCACAGCAGCTTTCAGGGAGGCCCAGCAACTGCACGCACGCACACGCGCTGCGCGGCACAAACCCCCCCTTTCAACAGGCACACAGCAGCTGGGACGCACAACCCCTGCATTGCAAGCACCACAGCAGCTGCAGCAGGCCAAACAGCAGCCGCACGCACACACACTGCAGCTGCACGCACGCACACTGCAGCTGCACACACGCACACACGTTTGATAAACATTCTCTCTACTGACTGCAGTAACTGACTCGTTAAATAATTCCATAACTCTGTTAAAAAATAAATTATATTCACAAACAGCTTATAAAACGCACTGTAACATGGTAAACATTTCGCTCAGCGTTTAAGATGTTTATGAATCTCAGTGTATATACGCCGAGAGTTGTCCCTCAGCGTATATACACCGATATGTGTATGTGTCTACACGTATATACACACTGAGAGGTGTGTGTTTCTCAGTGTATATACACTGAGAGTTGTCTCTCAGCGTATATATAAACTGAGAGCTGTCTCTCAGCATATATACACTGAGATTTTACTCTAAATTCCAGTTCTGTGGATTAAAATATTCTTGACTGGTGGTGAACGGGTGAGACGCCTCATTAATGACGCTCGTGTAGTAGATAGGCGTAAAACCCCAGTACACTCACCTGGTGAATAAAAATACACGTGCCCACCTGGATATCTCCATCGAACTTTGTTTTCTGCCGTCTTCAGTACTGTGTCACCTCTGTATTCAAATGATAAAGCCTGCTATGCAGGAGAAACGTTTCTCCAGGAAAAATAGCTGAGTTTTGCACGTTTCTTCCTCATCAGGTTCAGGGTATTTCGTGCCATGGGAAACTTTCCTATGGAAGCGTTTCGCCAACAAGCGGCTTCCTCAATCCAGTACGGAGATGAATGCCTAAGGATGAGCTTGGGGGTAATCAGTCCCTCAGCCTTCTCGTCTTCCATCATTCATCTCCGTACCGGACTGAGGAAGCGCCTGTTGGCGAAGCGCTTCCAAGACAAAGATACCTAAACGTCTCCAAAGCATCTAATTCTTCTACTTGTCGATTTTCCTAAACCATTTACATCACATTCGTAACACAATACATACCTGGCCGTCCCGCAGAATGTCTCCGAAATCCCCATGAGGGACGGGTTCTCCCAGTACTGTGAAGATCCATTCCAATGCTTCCTTCTCCTGTTCGGGCTCCCTCTTGCCCATCATCTGAAATACAAAAGCAAGGGATTAAAATCTTCTTCATCTCTGTTAGTGCAAAGGATAAATGCCATGACCCCCTTTCATCCTCACAGTGTGGGATAGTTAGAGGAATGTTAACTCCATCGAGGGGTCGCTGCCCCAGGGGGAGGCATAGTCATGTCTATGCTTCGTTTTTGTATAAGGAAGTTAATATTGCTGTAAGTAATATTCAAATTATTGTCACCTGCGAGATGAGCCATCAGCAGCCAGGTGTACACAGAAGGTTTTATTAACTACAGCCCGTTTTAACTCCTCTGTTTATAACTTGAAGACCACTGATTAAGGCACAGAGACTACTCTCTAATGGATAGTCATGTGATTTCACAGTGGTAGTAGTGGTAATAGGTACGTTGGTTGTTTAATGGTATTTAAAGATTACCAATTACAATAAGGTCATAAAGGCTGTGAGTTAACTTTGTCACCACAAAAAGATTTTGATCTCTTAAATAGGGGTTGATGTAAGTTCAGCGTGTGTACGCTGAGAGAAAGTACACATCTCAGTAGTAGTAGTAATACTAACAATAGTAGTAGTAATAGTAGTACTAGTAATCGTACCAGTGGTAATAGTAGTAACAACATTAGTAGAAATAGTAGTAGTAGTAATCGTAGTAGTGGTAATAGTAGTAGTGGTAACAGTAGTAGTAGTAGTAATAGTAGCAATGGTAATAGTAGCAGTAATAGTAATAATAGTGGTAATAGTATTAGTAATAGTAGCAGTAGAAAGAGTAGTAGTGGCAGTAATAGTAGTAGTGGCAGTAATAGTAGTAGTAGTGGTATTAATAGTAGTAATAGTAATAGTAGTAGTAATAGTAGTAGTGGTAATAGTAGCAGTAATAATAGTAGAAATAGTAGTAGCAACAGTAGTAGTAATAGTAATAGTAGCAGTGGTAGTAATAGTTGTAGTAGTAGTAGTAATAATAGTAGTAGTAATAATAATGGTAGTAGTAATAAGAATGGTAGCAGTAGTAGTAAGAATGGTAGTAGTAGCAGAAGTTAAACTACTATTAATACTACCACTAATAATAATAATCATAAGAGCCAGGTGTAAGGCTCACACCAGCATCTCCACATCAGTCAGGTATTGAAGTGGCAGTGAAAGTAATCAGCTGGTGGACCCAGCTAAATTGGGCTTGTGTCGTCCCGTGTGGAATTACTTAATTCCTTAATGAGAGAAAAATAGAGCGATTACTTTAACCCAAATAACCTCTCTAAATAACTGATTGTTTATAGAGCAAAGACCGCTAGTGTTTTAACCTCTGGTGCTTTATCAATTTATTTTCTCTCTCGTGTTGCTTGTTATGTTTTTCTAATCGCGTTTTTTTTCCTCCTTTTTTTTTTGTAGTTTGAAGAGGCATAATACCGTGACTGGAATAATACACAAATAACCCGCACATAATGTGAGGACGTTACGGTTCGGCTTAGACCATTTACAAAGGCACAGTGTGACTTTGTAAATGGTCTAATGCGGACCGAAACGTCGTGGTTTACCACTCTCTCCTATGTGCAGGTTATTTGTGTACTTTTTTTAGTGTGTTGTGATTTGTATTATTTCCGGAGCTTGTCGCGTCTCCTCTCCCTTCAAAGGTGTGCTTTGATGCCGCCCAAGGGCTCTTGATCCATGGAATCTAGAGCGAGGGATTGGTAGTGTGTGTCCCCCGTTATGGATTACATAGACCTAATATCATTAGAATTTTCTTTATTCTTCAACATGTTTCGCTCACATGTGTATGTGTGTGTGTGTGTGTGTGTGTGTGTGTGTGTGTGTGTGTGTAATAAAAAATTGGGAGGTGGAAGTCGAGCAGCCAACAGGTGTGTCACGTTTATTTACGAGGACATGTGCAAGAACAGGTAGAGAGAAGCAGGTGGTGAAGCGGGAACAGAAGAAGGCGGAAGAGGAGAGTGAGAAAAAGAGACAAAGGGGAAAAAATAAGTGGTGGACGAAGAGGAGGAGTAAGAGAAGGAAGAAAGTGGTGAGGAGGAAGGGAAAAAATGTGTTCGAAGTAAAAGGAAGCTGAGGAGGAATATGACGAGGAGAAGTAGGCGTTTAAAGGTGGAGGGGAGGAGAGAGAGAGAGAGAGAGAGGAGAGAGAGAGAGAGAGAGAGAGAGAGAGAGAGAGAGAGAGAGAGAGAGAGAGGAGTAACTGGAGAAAAAGAAGACAAGAATTGGATAAACAATAGTTGACCAAAAGATAAGCACCGTAAGTGCTTGTCTTCCTAGAACTTACGCCAAGGTCTGAAGACACACATGTCAAGGCGCTGTTCTCTCTCCCCAGAGGACACACAGTAAAGCGTACATAAGAACGTATAAAAGAAGGAGCACTGCAGCATGACTACTGGCCCCTGTTAGGCAGGTCCAAGTCACCTACTGGACAGACACAGTTGACAAAGCTCTCTTATCCTGAAAGCGTGCGTTAGGTAAGGTTTGACTCGGGTCATAGTCATATGATGACCCGTAGCTGGAGCTTTTGGTCAATTGACCGAAGCCTTTTACTGGCTTACCGGTCTACTCCTTTAAAAATTACGTACGGAAAGAGATGCAGACACAAGCGTCAAGATTCCAAGTCCCAATGAGGACGTATGCAAAGGACACACAGAAGCACAGAAGTCAAGACACATTTTTGTAGACGTGTCCCATAGATGGACTTTATAATAACATGGTGAGTGGGATACAAAATATGAGTGAATGTATCCCGTTGAAACGAGTGTGAGGTAGAGGAAGGGAGGGTGGGAGGTGGAATGGGTAATGAAGGAGGAACTAGAACTGGTGAGGATGATGAAGTAATGGAACTACTGCGTCTCGTTGCATCACCTTAATTAATGTCGCTCCACGCTATATTAGTGTTGCAATATGTGATGTGATATTATGAGAGCCTAAAACTTGATACAAAAACGTACTGCCGTCAGTAATGAAGAAAAGAGAGGAGTAGAGTAAGTTTATATTGAGACAACGTGTTGCCCTGTGTAGAGTTTTATTAAGTCTTGATTTGGCTCTACAAAGAGCGAAATGTTTTCACATTAAAAACTTCCTCTGCACGCTCTATGATATGTTATATTGTGTGGACACCTAGTGGCGCACTCTTCTGTCTTCCATTTTAATTAGTCTCTTAGCGTTGGTCTGTGCTCTGACGTGTGTGTGGCGGTGGGTTAAGCATGCATTGTTGGTGTTATGTGTGGGCCAAGCATATAAATGATCATGAATCACTGTACTAATGTTGAGTGATGGCTCTTGCATCACGATCAAACACTTTTTCCACCTCCTTCTACCTGCCCCCCTCCCCTCACATACACCTTTCGCAGCCAGGGCATGCAGGGCTTGTGTACCCTCTCACACTCACCCACCAGGGCATGCAGGGCTTGTGTACCCTCTCACACTCACCCACCAAACCAATCCCCTCTCACTTATCTGCTACAATAATCTTAATTTTTAAATGGGTGGACGGGTAAGCCAGTGGAAGGCCTCGGTGAAATTATCGAAAGCTTAGGTAGCGGGTCATATAATGACCCGCTACCTGAGTGGCTGTTTCCCGACCCACGTCGGGAAACACTTGTCCTGTTTCCTGAAGAACCTTACCTAACCTAACCTCTCACCTGCATTCGAACACCAACTGTCACCCTTCATCGTTGTCACAGGATTCACCACAACAGAAACTAGTGCCATAAACTAGCTAATATACGACAGCAGAGGCTGAGAGATTATTTCTCTATCTAGGAATTTATCTAAGCAAGTTGTCAAAGGGAATGAGCCCTGCCCTGAGGAAATATTAAGCTACCCAACTGATGCACCTTCTTGAAAAGACAGCCCCACTTCTTAGGATGTTCCACCGAAAATGGAATTCACAACTCGGATTTATACTTGTTGCATTTCAGTTTGTTTATGTTCACTGGGGAAATGTGCAGTACGTTGTTCATTGCTACATTATATTGTCCTTTTTAGAGGTTTTGAACTGTATTTAAGAATTGATATATATGGGAGATACCATTCAAAATATCTGTTGGTCACGCTAAAGCAAATTCCGGAATTAAATGGTCGTCTTAATGAGCGATCTGAAGGTGTGAGAGGATACACAACACCTGTATCTCAACACAAGTGGGAGGATACACAACACCTGCATCTTAACACAAGTGGGAGGATATACAGCACCTGTATCTCAACACAAGTGGGAGGATACACAACACCTGTATCTTAACACAAGTGGGAGGATACACAACACCTGTATCTTAACACAAGTGGGAGGACGCACAACACCTGTTTCTCGACACACGTAAGGAGATAGACAACACCTGCATCTCAACACTTGTCAAAACAAACATAAGAGACATCAAACAACACCAACACTCCTCAACACATGATAGGAACTCAACTAAACTCATTCTCCCTGAGCTCACACATATTCTCCATTGTATGATCTTACAGGAGTTCCCAGAAGTCCTACACACGTCCAGGAAGATTGCTTTCCCACACTCGCAAAATTCCAGCTAATCTTTTAAAGCAAGAGATGGAGGTACTTATGTTTTCCATGGGACGTCAAGAGGGGGTTACTTGTCGGCCATATTGGACGTGAGGCTGCATTAGCAACCGGCTACACATCTTTCTAAATAGCTAAGATTTAGAAAGATGCAGTAATCGGCATGATGGTAAGAGAAATCTAAATCTACAGGTTCCGCAAGGATTCTGTGAGACGAAAATGAATGATTTCTTCAGAGAGGTGGACAGATTAGCAGCCAGAAGAAACATCTCCATCAAGGGACGTACCTTGGTGCTTCTGAAAAACGACTCTTGATTCCAGGGATTGGAGCTATCTGAACTTTCATTGAACCAAACCTGATTGTCTTCCATTTTCCAAACTGTATGAATTTAATAATAATAATCATCATAATACTAAAAACAACAACATCAATAATAATTATAATAATAATAATGATAATAATAATAATAATAATAATAATAATAATAATAATAAATAATA